TTGTCATTTTAAAACCCCATCAACAGCATCTCGGTCTCCCTATTTACTTTGGGAGGAAGGCTGTAATCAATGTTGCTGAATGCATGATGGTATCACCAAGCTTGAAACTTAAGAGATCTGTTGTACTTTGTCATCTGGATTCTCAGGAAACCCTTCTTCCTTGTTTTTATTGTAGTGATAGTTAAATGCAGCTTGGGCAGAAGTATTCATTACCAGTGGTCTGTTAAATCTGTATAGCGCGTTCCATTTTCTGACCATGCAATCACAGAATTGTCATAAGATAGGTCCATGAAAATTGGAACTAGGTTTATATGGCTCTTGTTTAAAGTCTTCAAAAGATTGGGGGAAAAGAAAGGATAATAACATAATGGTTGATTGCAATTGGAGAGTTTTCCTGGTTTTGAAACCCAGCTATTCTTCATGTGAGAGTACTAATCTTGGAATTTGTTAGGAAGAAAAGTGGCATAAAATTCAAACAAATATGTAGCAAATGGATGAGTCATTAAATTTGAGGAAGTAGATAATTTACCGTAAAAAATTTTGGAAACATCCTTGAGTTAACTACATGAGAGAGGTGCTAAAGCATTTGTTCTCAATCCAAACTACATATTAGAATTACCTGAGAAACTTTAAAAAAATATATGAATGCCCAGTTACTTGCAGAAATAACCAATTTCCAGGTCTAGGACAAGAAATGTAAAAGATTAGCCTAAAAAATCTTGTCAGATAAGATAGCAGAGAACCTATCAAAGGCTACATGTTAAGAAAGATTGAGGAACCAACTGGACAAAGCTCCACAGGCCACCAAGAGACCATGTCAGCATCAATAAGGGAAATAGCTCAATGGACTAAAACACATCAAATATGTCATGAATGATACTAGCCTCATAACAATGCTAAAAATAAATTAGTTGGTAACTATTTCAAAATAGTCATGAACAAACTCATTACTTTGAAAACAGACAATGAAAGGGGAAGAATTGTCTTTTCAATGCTGCCTGGACGGCTAGATAACCAGATAGATGAAAGGAAGTTGTCCTTTCCAAAGTATTCCAGACAATAAATGATAGAACGTAAACCCAGAATTTGCAGCTCATACAAATTACTGAAGTTAGTTTATCATCATCATAGCTACTGATATCAGAAAAAAATAGAGGCAACCAGATATCATGTGCCTCCTGATGGATAAACACACCATCATGAAAAAGTCATGCCCAAAAAAAGAGAAAAATTGAATTTGAATCTTATCATGTCTCTAAATCCAACAACTAGTATAACAGGCAAAGTAACATGGTGACATCATAGTGAGGCAATCAGCAAAATCCTGTCTAAGGAAATACCTACAGACCAAATACCCAGTTTTCTGTGTTCTGAAACAAATAAATTGACAGGGTAAGAAGGGAGGAAATAGAGAAGCAACCTATAGAGTTAAAGAGGTATATAACAAATATATAAACCATGCAGACCTAATTTTGGTCCAGATTCAAGTGAACTATAAATGATAAATTATAACATTTATGCTACAATTGGAAATTTGAACACTAACTGGATGTTTTATTAATATCTGGGAATTGTTACTTTAAGGCATGGTATTATTGTGGTTATAATGCTTAAGAGCCCTATCTTTTAGAGACGCATACTGAAGTAGTTACTTTTTTTCATTTTTAAAAATTTAATTTTATATATATTTTTATATTAGTTTCAGGTACAAGCAAACAAAACAAAAATAGATTCTGTGATACAGAGAAAAAACTGAAGTAATTTTACTACATATTCAATCTTCTTGAAATAAAAATTACTACAGGCAACTGAGGAATAAATCAAAATAAAGAACTCAATAATGAGATAGTCATGTTATAAAATTGCTGCTAGTTATGAAATTGCTGCTGGTGAGCAATATAGTGGTTGCCATGATTCTAAAACATAACATAACTATTTAACATAATTATTGATCAAGCAGATACATTAGGTAAAAAATAATAACTTAATGCTAACCTGGATATCTAAAGCTTCAGGTTAATTCATCAAAAACAAGATATGTAAAAGGACAGCGAGAGAAAAAGAAAAGTAAAAGCATGATAAAATTTTCACCTTACTGAGGAGGGAACCAACAGACGGCGTTTGATTTTTTTACATCAATAGTTACAGGAAATATATTTATTTGAGTTTTACTGGACTAAGAATCAACATAGTCAAACAGAATATTATTCAAATCATTAGAGGAAAGAGAACAAGAAAAAATAGTACTGGGAAAAATACTAAACTATTAATTAAAATTAACTGCTTGAGTATAGTCCACTCTGGAAGAACCCAGATAGTTGAGGAACTAACTTTTATGGCTTGCTGTATACTTTCTCGAAATGAATAAAAAAATAATTTACAGACTAGTGTATTTTTCTATGCATACATCAGTATATAAGCATAGAAGTATAACAAATATTAACAGTGTGTATCTCTGGATAAAGAATCCTGGAAAACTTTCTATTTTTCTTTTATATTTTCCAAATGTTCTATAATGAACACACTGGTTTTTCAATAAGAAAATAGTGAATACATGTTTTTAAGAAACAATGTTACATGGAACAAGTTATTTTCTAGGAAAGTCAGGACGGTATCCTTCCACCATAGTCAATGGAATTTTGTTGGTGAATTTATCACTAATTAATCTGGAAGCTCAAAGAAAACACCTTTGAATAGAAGAATAAGGGTGAAAGACATCAGTCAGTCCAGATAAAAACCAAAGTACAGGCGATAGGTTCTTTTCAGACATCTTGTTCATTTAGGACACAATTTCAAGACAATGAGATATCCAAAGGGCTCTGAACAATGAAAAAAGATGTGACAAAATCCATATGCTGAAGTTCATATATTTGATTTAGAGCCCCTTAATACATTATTTAGAACCCAATCTGTTTTTAACACGTTACAAGATTTTATTTATCTTGTTTATTATTCCATTGATTAAGAATTTAAAGCATGAAAAAGGGTTATGATTAGGAACGTTGATGATAACCATAAAAGATAAATAAGAAAGAAGGAAGAAGCAAAAACTCATAAAAATTGTATCTATAAATCAAAGAACAGTGATCTTAACCTGTATAAAAGCTTATAAGAGTAATAGGGGCAAACAGTCTGTATATCCCCCAAGGGTAATGGGATATTAAAAAATATGCAAAAAATATATTCAGCATAATAATTATAAATAAATTCTTAAGTAAATTATATTCATTATACTGTATTTCAGAAGGCAGGAGAGTAAATTTTGGAAAGATTTTACTCAAAATATTTAAAATTTTAAATGCTTGAACCCTTAATGGGGTAAGTTTATCTTTAATGGAGACATTACAATTGTTGAAAAATTCAGTCCTCATACCAATAAGATACCTTGCCATGTTCCATGTTCAAGGGTGTAAAAAACAGAAACAATTTCATTTTTTGCTGTACTTCTAGGTATTGAAAAATAAATTCAACTCAAAATATTTTTTAAATATACCAAGCAAATATACCTCTTTGACATTTCAAACATATTCTTCAGTCTATACTATGGTTATAGCTAGTTGTCATTTAAATAGAAAGTGAAACAAAGGCTGCACCTTAATTACACTCGTCAGCCGCAGCATGAATTTTGAAGTAATCTGATGAAAACATTTTTGAAAGCCTTAATCTACCCCTTAAACTGTATTTACTTAATGAATTTATTTAGCATTCCAAAGCCAAGAGATTCACATTCACAGCTAAGACTACTTTGTATTCCCTTAATATCTTTTCATTGTAGAATTAGAATCTTGTCCATGACCTTTTCTCACTCATTCACAGGGGAACCGGGCACGGGTCTGTCAGGAGAACAGACAGTGGAGTGGAGTGACGGCAACATGCAAAAGTAAGTCAGATGGCACTTGGCAGTCCCCAAAAATGGTACTGAGGACACAGAATTACAGTGTGGGCCACGTTGTCTTTATAAATTAGTCTTGTAATAAAAAAAAAATTGACTACAGAAACTATATGACAACATTTAATGGGCTTTTGCTCAAGGACACCAAATTAATAAAAGGGTCAAAGACTGCAGAGATTAATGATTAAATTGGAATAGAGCACAAGATGACTGATTGTGGAATGTCAAACATTGTGTTTAGAAACTAGTTAACTATTAAGTTTATTTGCATGTAGGGGCCCCCGCAAATAATTAGAAATTAGAAGCCTTAGTTGATTTTTGGTGATAGTGCTGACCAATCCTGACATCTTCTTTAAGTGATGTTGGCACATATGTCAAATAAGTGGGTATTCACATTTTTCATGGAATTTTACATCAACTCATTTTCCGGGAAGAGCCAAGTGTATTTAACCAGATGTGGGTTAATTCACATGACTTTATTCCAACATATGGCCCGTATGATTCTTCTGCCAAAAGGCAGTGTATTTAAATATAATACAAGTCAATCAAGGTGGAAAGCTTTAAAAATTTTTTTTCTTAATAATCCTGGGGGAGTCATCAAATTTTCATACTGGAAGGGGCCTCTTAGATAATCTTCATCTAAGCGACTTTTCAGACAACCTGCCTGGGCTAGATTGGACTAAATCAAGATGAGCAAGATTTATTCACCTTGCTAAATGAGTAAATGAGGCTAGAAGTAAAGTGACCTGCCCAGTATCATAAATTAATTTGGTAGCAGAGCTTGCCCTGGGACTCGAGGTACTTGAATCTCTGTTCCCTGTTGTTTCAACCATATTTTCTGGGGTAGATTAATGAGTGGATTTTATATGTACAGTAATCTTAAGTCTTTTTAGAAATATTAGGTGGTTGAAACTCAGTGGAGGGTATATGACTGTTTTTCAGTTGTCGAAAAATGTATGTAAATATTATATAGAAAAGTATTTTTTAAAAACACTGACTAACATCTCAAGTCACAGAAAGGTATCATTGGGCATTCCTCATAATAGTATCTTTTATCTCAATTGTTCATGATCAACTAAGCGTGTGAATGTATTTTCAGGGGAGGGGAGCGGGGAATGAAAAAGAAGTGTGTGTCTGCATAGGAACATGAAGGGATTGTTTTCAGTTTGCAGCAGGTTTTATTCAAATTATAATGATAATGGTTAGTATAGTTTCTATCTCTGAAATGCAAGATAATAGTAACATCTCTATTTGAATCCTATTATTTTTTTCTCTTTCTTTTTCTAACGATTAAATAAGTGTGACAAGTTCTTTGCAAAAAAATTAGAAAGCACAAATAAGCAAAAAGAAAATAATAGTTTTAATCCCACCACTCAGGGATAAAAACTATTGATAGCTATTATATTTTATAGTGCACTTTTTTTCCTAGGCATACAAAAAATACAAATATTTCTGGGGGGAAAAATACCTGATATGAAAGATCCTTATATAATATTTACTAAATTATTAAATATATTGATATATCTGTATCCATCAGATTTCAGGGAAGCCTGTTCAAGTCAGTAGGATTCCCCAGGCCAGTGCTTCTCAAAGTGTGGCCCACAGACCAGCAGCATCAATAGTACCTGGGATCTTGTTAGAAATGCAGAATCTCAGGCCACACCCCAATCCTACTGAATCAAAATTGGTGTTTTAACAAGATCCTTAGATGGTTCCTATGCACATGACCGTCTGAGAAGCACTCCCTTGGACCTATGGTTTGTAGCCTTCCACACATTAGAATATCCTGGGGAGCTTTGGAAAATTCCTTGCCCTGTCTGCACCCTGTCAGTTAAGTCAAAATCTCTAAGGGTGGGGCCCTGCATCAATATGTTTTTAAAACTTCCAGATGATTCCAAGGTATAGCCAAAGTTAGGATGCATAGTCCCAACACTCACTGGGCTGAAAGAAGCCCCAAAGAAGTCAGTTAGCATCTGATAGAGTGGCTCTCAATTCTGAGTGAGCATCAGAATTATTTGGGGAGCTTTTAAGAAAATACCAGAAGCCAGGTATTTCTGATCCATTTGGTCTGAGACAGGACTTAGAGCTTCCCAGGGACTCTAATGTACAGCCAAAGTTGAGAATCACTGATCTAGATCATGTCCTCTACCTTCAGCAAGATCATAAAATTAAGACTCAAACCTACTTTCTAAGATTCTAGAAAGAATGACTCTGCTTTCCCCCTAGCACATTCCTGTTAAGAATATTTCTCACAAGTGCAAAACCATTCTTTACAATTATACTAAAACTACCCATCAGTTTGTGGAGTCTGTATATCCGTAGAAGCCATGTAAAATGTCCATGTCCTCATTTTCCCCAAGTTCATGGTTCCCTTCTCTTTATACTTCCTTATTATATTTTAGCTTCCAATGATTTTATCTTTTATCTCTCCTTACAAGCAGTATGACCTTGATCAAATTATTTAACCTCTCTATGCCTCACTTTTCTTCAACTATGAAGCGAGATCATCTCAGTGTTATTGTGAATAAGATTGCTAGATGTGGCAAAGAAATAAAAACCCATTTAAATTTAAATTTCCGATTAAAAATAATGTTTAATATAAATCTATCCCATGCAATATTTGGGGCATACTTATTCTAAAATGTAATTGTTTTTCATCCAATACTCAAATTTAACTGGATGGTCTGTATTTTATTGGGTCAACTGTAATTGTAAGAAATAAATGTGATAATGCCTGGGAAGTTCTTGGCCATGATAGCAACTTAACAAAGGAGAATTCCTTTGTTTTATCCAACTGTTCATCCATACCACCAGCATTACTAACAACAAAAGGTGGCAGCATACATAAAGACAGCTGGAGTCAATTGGGCAAAATGGCAATCTTTAATTGCTTGCGTGTGTTAATCCAAAACTTATATGCGTGCTCGGTTTGTTTTTTTAAAATGTGTATCATTGTGCCTCACACGAGTAAGCTATAAGTATAACATATTGTACTGTGCATTGAGTTCCTTTAGCAATCATAGCAGAAGAAGCAAAGAGGATTGGGAGAGGCATTTAATATGAGTCTTCTATTTTTTCTTTTAGAAACCAGATGTAAAGCTCCACTTGGGTTTCTGAATGGGAGAGCGGAAGTTGAAAACACTACAGCCGGACCCAGCGTGGTGTATTCCTGCAACACAGGCTACAGTCTCGAAGGGACGCCTAGGGCAGTCTGCACTGAAAATGGAACTTGGAGCCACCCAGTTCCTCTCTGCAAACGTGTGTGTTGACTTTAGGAGAGGTTTTAATTAGATTCCATTTCATGATGAGTTCTCCAAATGTCTAAACCCTAGAAGAAACACCACCAATAAGTGAGATTGATACAGAGAAAGTAATCTGTGCATATCCGAACCAAATACTATGTGATATTTTAACAATCTACTTGTGTTTTCTAAAATATCCTGCCTGAGAATCAGCTCTTATCAAATTCCTTGGCTGATTACAGGTTTAAGGCACTAGGAGAAAAATGCAACTTAATGAAAAAGATTTGACATAAATGTATATATGAGGGCTGACAATTAAGTTCGCGAACTCATCCTAGAAAAAATGCTACATACCTCATTGCTGAATCACCTTCCAAACACTCCCCTTGGGAAGCTATGTACTGATGCCAGCACCTAGTCCACCTTGCAAAGCAATTTTGGAATTCTTTTTCTGGAATGGACATCAGAGCTGTTGCCATGTTACCCTTGATGTTCTGAATGTCATCAAAATGCCTTCCTTTCAATATTTCCTTTATCTTTGGGTAAAGAAAGAAGCCATTGGGGGCCAGATCAGGTGAGTAGGGAGGGTGTTCCAATACAGTTATTTGTTTACTGGCTAAAAACTCCCTCACAGACAGTGCCGTGTAAGCTCTGCAATGTCGTGAAGCAAGAGCCATGAAATGTTCGTGAGAAGTTCCAGTCATCTAACTTTTTCACGCAGTTTTTTCAGCACTTCCAAACAGTGAACTTGGTTAACTGTTTGTCCAGTTGGTACAAATTCATAATGAATAATCCCTCTGATAGCAAAAAAGGTTAGCAACATCATTGCAACAAGTTCTCAAACTTGTTAGTCCTTGTATAATGAATTTGGGGTTGTGAAAGGGGTGAAGAAAGAAAACATGTTTAATGTGCAATATTAATAAAGTATTTATAAATATAGTAAATAAAGGTAATTAGAACCACTGGAATGAAAAAATTCACAAGTAAGGTATAAGTTGAGAGAACTCTGGTTACTGTTTAAAGTATTGTAATGCAGTAATTGAGCCTTCAGGGTTCAGCTAACTCCTACCTTGCTCACAAAGACTTCCTTTGTGCCCAATGAAACTCAAAAAAAAAACCAAACCCTGAAATTGCTTAAACTGTGTGTTGACATGTGTGTCACACATTTGCAGTAAGAAATCCTTGTGCTATCATCATTTCCTGTTTTCCCTCCAGACCTATAAAAATGAATCGATTTTTGATGATAAGCCTTGCAAACTCTATAATTAAGCTCTGATGCTCTGTTTATAGTAGTGTGGGCCTGAAGTCTTGGTCACGTAGATGTACCTGATGATACTCTGGTTCATCCTTCTGAAGGATGTTCAGTAAAAGAAAGTAGCATGACAGTGAGAAGCACTGAGTCTGTTCTTAATATTCTTCAGATATTAATGGAAGTTTTGATACACTCCTTGATTTTGTTTCCCCCATGCTGATCAGAAAACAAACTAAAAAATACTGTGAGCCATAACTTCAGACAACTATTTAATTTGCCCTCTTAAAGGTTTAGAACTATGTGTTGGTGGTTGAACAACATGGTGTTTTGAGATCTCACCTGATTTTTATCCTTACAAATAATTTCATGGGAATGCAAAACAAGTCTGTGTTTAATGTTTGAAGTTCTATACTTTTAAGCCTCATATTATCACCACTGAGAATTCAAATTCTACAGGGCTCATCCTCTGCCTTCAAAGAAATAAATTAAGAAAAGAGGGAAAATATCAATAAGTATTTTCTTTCCTTTTTAACAGCAAATCCATGCCCTGTCCCTTTTGTCATCCCTGAGAATGCTCTGCTTTCTGAAAAAGAGTTTTATGTCAATCAGAATGTGTCTATCAAGTGCAGAGAAGGCTACCTGCTCCAGGGCGAAGGTGTCATTACCTGCAACCCCGACGAGACGTGGACACAGACAAGTGCCAGATGTGAAAGTAAGTTGACAGGTGGAATCTAGGTCATTGCATTTGTGCAGAATGTTTTCTCATCTTTGTGAGATTATTTTCAATCAAGTAATTTAATTGTAGGTACTTAGATCTCTGCCTTCTCATGCTTGTCAGCTCCCAGGTTGATAATTTTAAAAATTCAAAACAAGATCTTTGAATTCCAAACGTAAAAAGAAAAGAACTTTCCAGAAATACGCTAAAACCTACCTGACCAGGATTCACTGAGCAGATTTTTTTTTTTTTTTTTTTTT